AACCAAGCAAACAAAAACCAGAAAACAACAAAAAAACAAAAACAAGTGGAGTTGTGTTAAAAAACAAAGAAAGAAAAAAAAAAAAAAAAAAAGAAAAAAAACAAAAAATGTAAAATCAAAACAAAAAAAAAAACAACCAATTAAATGAAAGATAAACAACAAAAAAAAAAAACAGCAGTAATGAAAAAAATAAAAAAACCAAAAAATAAAGACATCCCCGACCAACCCCCCCCCCACCCCCCACCCCCCCCCCCCCCCACCCACACCCCCCTCCCCCCCCCCCACACCCCTCCTACACCCCTACCCTACCCCCCTCCCCCCCCCCCCCCCCCCCCACCTCCCCCCCTCCCCCCCCCCCACCCCCCCCCCCCCCACACCCCCCCCCCCACCACCCCCTCCCCACCCCACCCCCCCCCCCACACCCCCCCCCCCCCCCCCACCCACCCCCACACCCCCCCTCCCCCCCACCCCCCCCCCCCCCACCCCCCCCCACCCCCCCCCCCCCCCCCTACGCCTACCCCCCCCCCCCCCCCCCCCCCCCCCCCCCCCCCCCCCCCCCCCCCCCCCCCCCCCCCCCCCCCCCCCCCCCCCCCCCCCCCCCCCCCCCCCCCCCCCCCCCCCCCCCCCCCCCCCCCCCCCCCCCCCCCCCCCCCCCCCCCCCCCCCCCCCCCCCCCCCCCCCCCCCCCCCCCCCCCCCCCCCCCCCCCCCCCCCCCCCCCCCCCCCCCCCCCCCCCCCCCCCCCCCCCCCCCCCCCCCCCCCCCCCCCACCCCCCCCCCCCCCCCCCCCCCCCCCCCCCCCCCCCCCCCCCCCCCCCCCCCCCCCCCCCCCCCCCCCCCCCCCCCCCCCCCCCCCCCCCCCCCCCCCCCCCCCCCCCCCCCCCCCCCCCCCCCCCCCCCCCCCCCCCCCCCCCCCCCCCCCCCCCCCCCCCCCCCCCCCCCCCCCCCCCCCCCCCCCCCCCCCCCCCCCCCCCCCCCCCCCCCCCCCCCCCCCCCCCCCCCCCCCCCCCCCCCCCCCCCCCCCCCCCCCCCCCCCCCCCCCCCCCCCCCCCCCCCCCCCCCCCCCCCCCCCCCCCCCCCCCCCCCCCCCCCCCCCCCCCCCCCCCCCACCCCCCCCCCCCCCCCCCCCCCCCCCCCCCCCCCCCCCCCCCCCCCCCCCCCCCCCCCCCCCCCCCCCCCCCCCCCCCCCCCCACCCCCCCCCCCCCCCCCCCCCCCACCCCCCCCCCCCCCCCCCCCCCCCCCCCCCCCCCCCCCCCCCCCACCCCCCCCCCCCCCCCCCCCCCCCCCCCCCACCCCCCCCCCCCCCCCCCCCCCCACCCCCCCCCCCCCCCCCCCCCCCCCCCCCCCCCCCCCCCCCCCCCCCCCCCCCCCCCCCCCCCCCCCCCCCCCCCCCCCCCCCCCCCCCCCACCCCCCCCCCCCCCCCCCCCCCCCCCCCCCCCCCCCCCCCCCCCCCCCCCCCCCCCCCCCCCCCCCCCACCCCCCCCCCCCCCCCCCCCCCCCCCCCCCCCCCCCCCCCCCCCCCCCCCCCCCCCCCCCCCCCCCCCCCCCCCCCCCCCCCCCCCCCCCCCCCCCCCCCCCCCCCCCCCCCCCCCCCCCCCCCCCCCCCCCCCCCCCCCCCCCCACATCGTCAAAGACCTTGATGGGCCTGCGGTATCACTCTTACCACCGAAGGCTGAAGTTGCTGGGAATTTTCAGCGGACGCTATCGAAGGCTGCGCGGCGATCTCATATTAGCGTATCAAATATTGAGTGACCCCAACCACGTATGCCGCCATTTGCTGAAACTTAGCCACAACACGCAGCTCAGGGGTAACTGCTTAAAGTTGAAGGAACAATATAGCCGTCTAGAGTGTCGACGGAATTACTTTTCCCTTCGAGTTTGCAAACCATGGAACGCACTCTCAGACTCAGTAGTATCCTCTCCTACCCTGGATGTTTTCAAAAAACGATTAGATGTTGCCCTCAGCTCCCAACATTTTGTTACCTAAGCTCCTCTGTTGTGGATTACGCCAAGCATGTTTTCAACAGGACTAATGTATCAAATGGACCTAAGTGAGCGACCATATTTTATTTTCTCACTCCTTACCTCAACTATCACTGCGCCCCAGTGTCTTTCTGAATGTTTACGCGCGATATTTCTTTTTCATTTCACACTGATGTTAATTATCAAAGTATTCATCTCGGCAGACGTTCGATAGATGACCCACACATATTTTAATTGCATCATATTCACCGCTACCATCCTACGGGACATGTCAAGCACTTGCTTTTATCTCGTGATAAATCATTGTTCATTGTTCATTGTCCAACAATTGACGCAAGCTGCAGATGTGGTCGACGCATCGTCAACATCAACGGGAATCCGGCTCGCAATTCACGAATCTGGTTTCAAGGTTCCCGGTCATCCTGAGGAGTATGACAGACGCAAGTAATTTAGAGGCACTTGAGATCAGACTGATACCTCTATGGTTGCCGCATTCCGAATGGGAGCCTCCCTTGAAAATTGGGACAATGACAGAGCGGCTCCAGTCTGTCGGGACAGTCTCCTGCTCCCAAAGTTTCATTACCAACTCTTGTAAATCATCTACTAGAACAGGTCCCCCGAATTTGAAGAGGGCTGAGGGAATTCTATCTTTCCCTGCGGCCTTTATGCAATTTCAATAGCCTGATCTTACGTTCGCATGAGGGCGGGTCCAAGCAGACGGCCCAGAGAGAAGGGCATTCAATGCCCAAAAAAGAAAGCGATAACTCAGGTTAGTTAAATTGCCTTGCAACCTGTTCGGCCCAACGTTCTAAGCTTTTTGGTAGGCTGGTGATCAGCTGCCCACTCTCGTCGCGTAGGGTCTCGCTAACAACAGGTCTCCTGCTGCCTGTTTCCCGTATCAGACAGAATTACTTACGATGGTTAGCAACGGTAGCGGCTGTTTCTATCTCCAAGGCATGATGAGACCACCAGGCTTCGCGGTCTCTCTTCAGACTAACACGCAGTTTTGCCCTGAGATTTTTGCGAGTCTGAGTGTATTCTCTTCCAGCCGGAATACGTCGGCGAGCATCCATAAGTTCCAGAGACCTTTTATAGACCCAATGTCTGGGTTGGCAATTTGATTTGTCACATGAAGACATGCCTGGTGATAGTAACGTTTGACGAATATGCGCCCAGTGAGCTTCGATCGTGTTCAGTGGGCTCTTACTCAGCCCGGATGTCAGCGCACTTTGATACACATTCAGAACACCTGGTTTCGCCAGCTGGCTGGTGTCAATTCGTTCACATCGACGTTGCGAACGTTCACCGAAACGCACCCGGAAGTCGGCGCAGACAAGTGCATGTTCAGAGTCCACGTTCGTGCTCCAAATCGAGCGACAGTTTTGAACACAGCCTCTCCAGCGGGAACTGATCGCAATATGATCGATTTGCGTCCACGGCTGGCCCGAGGCTGGGGGCGCCAAGTCACGCTTCTGTGTGTGCTGTGTCGAAAGTTAGTGCTCGCGAGAAAGAGACGAACATTTTCACACAGCTGTAGCAATCGCTCACCGTTATCATTACGGGAGCCTACACCATGTTGGCCGCCCAGATGAACCTCATCAGAGGACAGTTTTCCTACTTGGACGTTCAGATTGTCAGCCAACACCACATTATCTGTGCTTCTGCTGTAACGAAGGGGATCACGAAGTTGATGATAGAAATAACCTTTCACCGAAGCAGTGTTACAGTTAGTAGGGGCGTAGGCCGCAATGACAAACAAGCACCGTTTGTTCCTGCGCGACTTGGTAGCATGGACTGAACCAGCTAATCTAACAACGCACATCCTACTGTTTACTGGGATCCAATCGATCAAAGCAGCCTCAACTCGGGGACTCAAAGAATGCCGACGCCAGCTTCACCGGCATTTGAAGCTGCATCATCGCCAGACAGGCGCAATGAGAATGTGGCTCAGTGTCGCATGTGGATGATCGCGGAGTAAGCACGGAGCTCGAATCTTGCAGGCGGGTTTCTGATAAACAGCAAATATCGATCGATAGGGTCTCTAGTGTGCGGGCAAGTGCTGCCTGTTGGCCAATCTGTAGCAAAGTGCGCACGTTGAGGCATGCCAGTCTTAGCGAGACTCGAGGACTCCAAAGGGAAACGGATGAACTGACGTTGTCCGCTTGGTTGAACATGGACTTATCGACTGGATTGGAGCGATGCCCTTCGATTGTGTGTGATTTGAAACTAGAAGACAAGGGACTATGGAAAGTAAGGTGGGGGAGGGCCAAGAATTGGGGGATTTAAAATGGGGGGATAAAAGTAAAGTGGGAGCGGGACGATAAGGATGAAAAAGCGCAAGAAGAGGGATAAGAAGACGGGATGGCCTGAGCAGCAGCATCCAAACCCCTATCCACCCTGTTCGATGCAGCAGATAGGGTACCGTTGGTTATCCTCTGCGACGGCCAGAGCATAAAGAATTTGTTAGAAGAAAGGCTCATTGTGTTGCGTGGGCAGAATACTGTCAAGTTGCCCAGGCATAGACAGGAGAATGATTATGGTTCTCAACCAAAGCTTTTGGTTCAAAAACCTTACGGTAAGGCAGCGGGGTTTTGGCACTGGACTACAGAGAGTCCGTTGTATGGAGTAAGGAGCCACCCTCACTCCAACCGTCAACTTGGAGGGCTGGGAGACTGAGTTTGTCTGGCCTCTAACCGTTGTCCCATTTAGTATGAGTGAGTCTGAAGGTGCCAAAAAGCCCCACCCAGCATGGGTCAATGGATCACTGAGGTACACAAACCATCGCACCAAGTTAAGGTCCAGTCTCCTCGCTGGCTAACTAAATATCAGAATAACCATTGACCGGAATGGTGTAAATTTTTCGAAACATTGTGTTGGAGGCTAGATAGAATACATTTTGTCTACTGCAAAAATCGATGTGTTTATCTGTTTGGTGTTACGAACCAAATACTGCATTTATCAACAAGTTATAGCTTCGTAAGTGTTGAATTGTAACAAAGATATGATAATAGTATTAATCACATACTTTCCCGAAACTAGTTCATTCTTTTTCTTGTAATTAGATCATGTTCATCCAATCACGCTTCAATTCCATTCCTAGACAGTGGTGTGACAATGTCTCTGTAATTCTGTGGTGTCATTTGCATGTTGAAAACACGTGACACATACAACTTAAAAGCCGCGGCACACCAATACGCATCTTAAGAGGCCGAAAGTCACAGTGGACATCATCAAACGACTACCATGCATGTCGCTTTTCAGTTAATTACTGTAGTGAGTTGAGTATTCCCCCTATCTGTCTTTGCGTCACGTGTATTGAAACACACTGGGGAAGTATCATTTTCGCATCTGTCTTGAATGCTTTCTTCATGAAAACTGATTGCGTGTGTCAGGCGTTATTTGATAGGCATTTAATTATATACCCTTGGATTGTGCGTTTATGTCTGTGCTGTATTCTAATGGGGCAGCAGTTCAGCCACACATACCATCAAATTAAGAATCTGTATAATTGTGTCAATGGCAGGAAAGTATTCAACGTGGACTGCTAACCTGCGAGCTTGGCATGATGTACACTTTTAGTTGTTAGACTTCGGTACGCTATAGACGACAGGTGTACCTTTCCTGGTATACCGCAAAATGTTCGGTGGATTGCATTGATGCATCATCTTCTGATTGATATGTGAAAATCCGACCAATTTCTTGCCTGGACCATTGCAAATAAGTTCTAGTAAAAGGAAAGTGAAGTTAACATGTAATTACCGGTGGGTTTACTTCTCCAGCAAATCTTATGTTTGGTCTTTGCAAGTCTTTTGCAGAGAATGAAATGCTACTACATAAGTGACGGATTCTAATCTCACCCTTATAAGTTTGGGTTTGCATAAAGTGCAGCGTTCGTGTGATGAGCAACTTGTATTAGTTTTGTATGTTTGACTTTTACATTTATCAATACACAATGGGTTGCAATAGACCTGATCGTCAGACCATATTTGTAATGTGATGGCGCTAGATGCAGGGATATTTGTGTACACAACTCCATTGTTTGATATTGTTGCATGAATGTCAAGTAACCCTGCGGCCTTCAATTCCTGTCCACAAGGTAGCAGGATCCAGTCACTACGCGACTCGGCGAAATTGAACAATGTTCTTCCGTAAACCACGCGCCCCACGTGATTCATTTCACCCATAATATGAGGCATCGCGCCAACTGTGATTCGACATTTGAGGGTCGTAAAAGAACCCAGAGGTCCGCTTCGTCTTGTCTCCCCTAAGTCTCGTGCGCCTAAGTCTCGTGCGCTTAAGTCTCGTACGTCTACTCCCCCTGTCGTGTGCGTATCGTTATCTGTTTTCGAGGGCTCAGCATGTCACCCAAATACGTGCGTGAATAGGGACCGCGCATAGGTTACGCGTAACCTTCGATTAAGCTAACGGGACCATATCTGTGCAAATCTATTTCAGATACCTTTCGCTTCGGCTACAAAGTCCTCTAATCGTTGGTCTTGCCTATATTCCAAGTGATATCAGTCTACTATTCGTCACTTTGTTCGCGTCAGCGTTGTCTGTAACAAAGAGGACTCTAAGTATGGTATCTCAAGTGACCTGGCCAACGATCGTTGCATATGGAACTGAATTCCCGAGGGAGTTG